ACACAAAACAGATTGTACCAGTGCATGAGTGAACTATATTGAGTCTATTCAATTTTACAGAAAAGTAACTTATTGTCCTTTAGTTGAATAATAACAATCTTAAAAATAGTAGGTAAGCCTGTGAATAAGTTTCGCTAAGTTTACACTTCAAGTTAATATTGACCATGAACTGACATCATTTAGAGAACCATTGGAATCCTGGGAGCACTGGACAGCTGCTTCGTCCTAATATGGGACTCTCAAACAGTACGCTTGCATGGACCGGCTAGGAGTTGGACTCAGGACCTTCAGGTTCCACGGCAAACACGTTAACCATTTAGCCGCTGGGTTAGAGTTCGTCGACCCACAATTCCCTACTTCTGTCAATTCGTGATATAGCCCGATTATCACCCAAAATCTTGAAACGGCATTGGCTTTTCTTCCGACTGGTTGACTCCATAGGTCACGGTTCCTCATTAGAACTTCATGATGTCCATCTGGAAGCATGTCACTGATAAGCACTCTACAGAAATATATTTTAAGATGAATGAGGATTTTAATTTTGGTATAGTATTGATCACGGACTGACTTCATGTGAATAATAGTCGAAAACCTAAGATCGTTGAACAGTACGTTACCACTGAGTCACTCTGTCGGCATCCAGTGGTCCACATCTGCTACTACTGTAAGTACATGGAACAGTACAACCTCCACCCAATGACATCTCTGAGTAACCGTCTGCACTTCCGACTTGGTTGGCTCCACTGGCCACGAAATTTTATTAGAATTTTATGAAATCTCATATCGAAGCAATTTACTGATGAGCACCAGAGTAAATCAATTTGAAAGTTTGTGGGGATTTATTCCTCAACTTCAGGTTGATATTCATCTTGATATCATTATGTTATTTATTATGGTTCCCAGCCCGATCAAGGGTGCGCACTACTGAGGAGTCCCATACCAGTGCGAAACAATTGTCCAGTGTTCCCAGATTTTCTCCAGTGATTTCTCAAGTGAGGCCAGTTCATGATGGATCCCAACTTGAAATTAATCAACAGATCCCCACAAACTTCCAAGTTAAGTTTGTATTTATCAATATACATGTCTCTATGCTGCTTGCCGTGTAAGATGAAGAGATTATAAGGTCAAATGTTTAAGTGCAGACTTTTGAAACTAAGTGCACTTGAGTGCTATCAAGTGACGAGTTGATAAAACACAAGGAGTTTATGTTAGTCACCCTGTTTAAAATAAGCAGATTTTCCAAGCCCAGTGAGCATCGTCTTCCTTTACAATTAAGATTGAAATTTATGACCTGATTGAATAATGAAAACGATCTCCTTTCCAGTGAGTTACATGATTCAGTGCTAATAAATACACTTCTCTCTATGACAACCTCGTTAAAGAGTTAGTGTATAAACGGATAGTTCATCTTAGAGAACACCACCAAATGACAGATGTTCGAAAAAACCAATATATGAAGAAGCGATTATTACAGCAGATCGTACACAACACAGTTCAACTTTACCAGTAAACAGTCCTCTGGATTCACATTTTGAGTAATTTTTCATTTTCCTTCTCTTCTACCCTTTTTCTTTTATGATGTGAACCATGCACGATAAGTTACCTATTCTCATTCACTACATCAACAAATTAGTAATTGTTATTACCTTTGTTGTTATAGTCATCATTATTATTATCACTGATTATGGTGTTTTAACCTTACCTCATTTTTACCGGAAAAGTTATATTCCAGAAGTTGCAAAGCAGATGGGGAGAAACCTTGGAGTAATTGGGTGTAAATTTTTCTGTCATCTTTCTCCTTGATTCATTCAAAACCGAGATTTTATTAGGTAATTTTGTGAATGGATGATATTAAACTATCTGTACATCACAATAGACATATAGGCATTGAAATCTTAATCACTTCTAATTTGTCCTTTTGTTATCGGGTTAATTTGATTACGCGGCCTGCTACCATACATTTTCCACTGGATATATATTGTATCAAATTCTCACCTTTCAATTTTGTAAACCTGTTAATTACATCTTTTAGACGTGTCATGTACTCTCGCACGTTTTTAAACTGTAGTTTTTCCAGTCAACAACAAAACCAATGAAAAACGTTACGCTGGTAAGAAATGGACTTATCAATGCACGACAATGCAGCACATTGTCGAATTGTAGATTTTTGTATTGGTTAAATGAACTACCACGACCGAGATTTATCGGATTTTTCTTTTCACTTACCAGTCCAGATCGGAAGCCAATGTCCAATACTGTGTGGGGAATGATTTCTTGAAATGAGATTTCCACACTGTATTACACATTTTGTTTTGAATAGAGCCATAATAATGATAATAATAATAATAGATCCTTTCTGCAAATAATAATAATCACCTCAAGCATATACTTTTTTATGCCCTACACTGGTTATTTTAAAATCAATGTACGTTGATAAAATGTGATGGATAAGTTGTTGAACGAAATCAATAGGCGAAAGTGTTCTCTACATAGCAATGGATGTAAGTGACACACAAATAATTATCATAAACAAAATAATTTTTTAAATACTGGAGCAAAATATTCTCGTTTTAACAATATAAAGTAAGCAGTAAAGGGAGTTATGGTTAGTCATTCTTTGAGTCCCTAGGTTTTTGAATTGAAGTTACCCATCCAACGCCGACCCAGAAAGCAAGTTAACCTGTGGTTGGTATACTCCATGGGCAAATAAAAATAATTTAGATATACTTGACAAGTGCTTCTATATGGTTCAGAGACTTGGCACGTTACGAAAAGAATTTCCAACAAATTACAGACATTCATCAACAAATGCCTACGCTGGCTCGTTACTGAAGATCAGATGGATTGCCAGAAAGAATATGCAACAAGGAACCCTGGCCAGGCAATGAACCAACCAGGAAACTATCGCTCAACAATATGCACTGGAAGGAAGTGGAGATGGATTGGATGGGGCATACACTGAGAAGGCCGACTGGGGACATCACGTGTCAGGCCAGGCAGTCAAGTGGAACTGCGATGGGAAGCGACGAGTTGGGGGTCCGAGGGTGATATGGGAGAGATCGTGCGAGGAGGAAATGAGGGCTTGTGGGCAGTCGTGGAGCAGGGTTCAAAAGATTTCAGAGAAGAGAGTGGAGTGGAGACGTGCTACTGAAGCCCTATTTTCGACTAGGAACCCGACGGACAAATAATAATAATAGTTGACAAACTGATATATATACTTCATCGTCTTTTAGTCAGTGGAATAACTTTGTTGTAACACAAAACAAAGCATTTTAAATTTCTTCAAAGTTTTTCTGGACTCAAAGTCAACAACAAATCTTTTATAAGGTTGTTTAAAAACTTCCTCTGATATAATTCGTAATATTTTGATGATTTCACTTTTTCAACCATTTTTTTCTCAACTTACGTAATATTAATTACCGCTTGCTACTCTAAAGTCATGTTTTCGTAACTTCGAAAATAGTTTCTACCTGTCTAATTCATAGAAACGAATGTTTGCATGATCATTATATCGTGGCTAAAAGGATAATTGAAAATGAAATGTATAAAATTTATCACAGACGCTATTGCCTATTACATGTAGGTTTATTTTTAACTGGCTATACGCTTTATTTACAGTACACATGGCGTTGAAGATAGAATAACTTTTCCTGGAAGTACGCTTTCGAAAAAACGGCCGTCCCGTTGATAAGGATATGCTGGAAGGAGATCAGTAGTCACCTCAGTTTCTAAAGATGCTATTACTATGAATTCGCGTTCAAACATAGTATCCGACGTAAATGAAGATACTAGCCGTTTATCACCCAGTATATGTAAAACACAAGATACCTCCGATGGATGCGTACACAGATACTGAAAACTTTATCTAGTCCTGTGGAACAAGTGACGTTAACCGTAGCTGCAGATTACTATCATCCTGTATACGATGCAATATTCCAGCTTTGTTTTACGGAGGTGAAAACTAACGAGTGATTTTGACCACCCAACTGATTTAATCAAATTGAAGTTTACTTCCGAAATTCGTGAGAATATTTCATTTTGTCTTCGTGTTCAGCTTCTAAAAACAACAAAGATCTTAAGCATTCATTAACTGAAACGTAGCCTTCATTCATTATTATTTTCCCCTGTCTCTCATTCATATCATCCATGGCTTGTTCGTTCACTTATCCTACTAATTTCAAAATTTTATAAACTACCACCTGTGAACCATTTAAATGTCTTGAGTAGTCTCTTTTTGTTATCACTCTAATCCATCGTGTATGTCTGGTTGCTTTATTGAAACAACTAACATTATTAAAGCTGAAATTTATACGACGGTGACTGTTTTTCGAGTCCAGGATGCCAGTTTAAACATGTTCTTATCTGGTTTGTTGAATGTACTCGCATAAGTATGGTAGTATTCTCGCTAAGACTCCAACTTAGAAGCAATCGTTTCAAGCCGAAAAATGATATATATTAAGCTACTGAATCACACGAGATACCACGTTGCAGTGAATACCAGTTGTTATCTATGGATACTTTTTTTTGACTACTTTACTGGAATGAATTAATCGGTTTCTGTTTGACATATATATATATATATATATATATATATATATATATATATATATATATACAGGCTTAAGCGGAAATTTAGTAAAAAGGGATCAATTCACTCGATTTCTTGTCTAAGTGCAACAACAAGAGGCATGAAATTATGCTCTTTTACTTCATGGTTTTGGAGAGTAACCGGGTTATTTCTAACCTAGCTGGATGACATATAGCAGAGAATGATATATTTATTGATAAAAGCATTTCAAATGTTTCTAGGAAGTAGTTGTGCAGCTTCAATATTGGTACTAAGAAAGTTCAAAGCCTTATGCTGTCTGCTAAAATCCTACTTATCTTCGCTCATCATTTAGCAAAACTTAATATCTGACTGAATTATTGCCAAAATCTTTTTATCAATATAATTAATATTCTAAACTACAGATAACTAATCCACTGAATTAATTATTTAGCTACACAGAAGTGGAAAACAACACATTCAGAAGAAGTACGCAGTTTAGCCCGCAGCGGTATCACCTATTTAGATCAACGATCTAAGTTCTGGCATCAAGAAAAGCCTGTATATGCACGAACAAAAGTGAAAAAAATAAAATTGCCTACAAAATCTCAGCAAACCAAAAAGCAGAAATGTGCTGAAGTCAACAAAATTCTAGATAAACTTCACCGCATTGACAAGTGTGAGTTACTATATTTTTTATAATTAGATTCATATCTTTTTCGAAAAATATAATTGAATACTATTATTAAAAGGTATAATAATGATAAGCTAAACTGCGTATGCCATTTAAATGCTGAAACTAGGAATGGTGATGATAATGATGTGGTTCCCTTTTATATACACTGTTGGCTGTTATGAATAACAGTATAGCAAGAACTAACTTTCAAACAGTTTTCCTGTAGACAATTCCAACTGAAAATTACAAGTATAATTAGCTGTCTTGCACTCATGAAAACAACATCTTTACTTAATAAGCCAATATTCAATGCCACGTTCATGTAAATTTATAATTGTTTCTTAGTAAGTCAGTTATTTATGTTCCTTCTAGGGAGCCTTTCGACTATCACTTAAATAAATCTTACCTCTAAGAAATTCTCCCGCTCTTTATGAGTCTGTTCTACCAAAAAATATCATCATTACCAAGTGCGAGATCAATTAAGAAGGACATTGGTCATAAATGCATTTGAGTTATTAGCGTAGAAAATATGGGCTGTCTGTACGTGCTTCGAGCAATAAATATTAAAACTACGCTATGAATTCCGTACTCTGTATTTATATAATCCATAGTTGGTCAGGACAAAACATTATCATGATTTTATAAATGAACGGATATTGATAGGAGAACCTGAACTATTCTCATGTTGAAAATTTCAAACGACTCTCTCCCGTTACAACTTCCTCTTTCTTCTCTAGTAGTTAACTTCTTTCTAACAACGATATCTTTGATACGTCTGTCTTTGTGAAAGAAACATATGCATTCTGTATGATTCACAAAATGCTGTATATATGGAGTGTAAGCGACTAATACTCGATAAAATCCAGAAAATTATAAAACTAATTATATAACTAACAAGCGTCTTTATATTTTTCAGTTACAACTTTATACTACTTAGTAGTAGTATAAGCAACTTTTAAAGTCTCTTATGATTGGACAGTCATTTTTGCTGGCAAAACATTCTCTAGTTCTCAGTGACTCTGGAGAGGCAAAGTATATTTTCTCAGTGCAAAGCACAAGATCTCGAGATAAACATGACTTCCATTGCCTAGTCGGTAATGCACGTCAAGTTATAAATGTAGAAAATGTATGTTTGTAATATTTTAAGCGTGACGACTGACATCACTTCACTCTGCATATGAAACATTGAATGAATGAGAAACGCTTTTGATGAATGAAAACTGGAAGATGAGCAAAATATGGTCTAAGTGCCTTCTCGAAGTAATCTTGTTCTTTGAGTAAAGTATGAAAAAACACATTTGTGGAATTAGGTACGCAAATTTGATTTCACGGCTTCCCATGAGCTGCAGTCAGCCCAAAATGACAAAAGCTGTCATGATCAGCAGATAAATATTTAAAACAATCTCAGTTTTCAAGCGAACACTAAGGTGAGAATTACAGCAACTTGACAGATCAAGGAAATACAGAGGTAACATAATAGTAAAGTGATCAAAACCAGTGTTTCCATACCCTTATTACAAAATGATGAGTGTTGAAGTCAGGAAGAAGCTCATCAATAAACTTTAGCCATAGAGATTTAAAAATGAATCCATTCACCATTGAGTAAACACCATGAGTGACTGATGAAAATAGAAATGGAGATAACACAACAAGGTTAAAGCACAGTTAACAGATGAATCTCACTTTCTTTCTGTACAAAGGGACTGAGTTGTATTCTTTTAATTTAGCTGCTTCTGTAGAACGAAAAAGACTAGAAATTTGCTGTATATCTATGATTTTGAAAGCATGATCCACTTCAGCCGTATGTCGTACATTCCTTAGGTGTCCGGTAATCCTGATTGTAGAGTCTTCATTTCATCTGAAGTGTAAGCTTTAGGATCATGTCCAGAAAATCTAGTGGTTGTGCACGCTCAGTCTTCCTCATGTACTGGATCCTCCATTATTATTATTTATTATTTGTCTCTTGGATTCCTAGTGGAACGTAGGGCCTCAGTAGCACGTCTCCACTCCACTCTCTTCTCTGAAATCTTTTGAACCCTGCTCCACGACTGCCCACAAGCCCTCATTTCCTCCTCGCACGATCTCTCCCATATCACCCTCGGACCCCCAACTCGTCGCTTCCCATCGCAGTTCCACTCGACTGCCTGGCCTGACATGTGATGTCCCCAGTCGGCCTTCTCAGTGTATGCCCCATCCAATCCATATCCACTTCCTTCCAGTGCATATTGGTTGAGCGATAGTTTCCTGGTTGGTTCATTGCCTGGCCAGGGTTCCTTGCTGCATATTCTTTCTGACAATCCATCTGATCTTCAGTAACGAGTCTGCGTAGGCATTTGTTGATGAATGTCTGTGATTTGTTGGAAATTCTTTTCGTAACGTGCCAAGTCTCTGAGCCATACAGGAGCACTGACTTTACATTAGTGTTGAAAATCCGGATCTTATTCCACATGGTGAGTGCAGTGCAGAAGATCTCCACACTGGTTTCAGGCTAATAAACGCCTGTCTTGCTTTTCCGATCCTGACTTTGACGTCCTCGTCTGTGCCGCCACCACCTGTAGTTGAAACGATGCTGCCTAGGCAGGTGTAGGTGATGGAGGCTACTTCCTTTAAGCTTCTTCCGTTGATGGTGACTGGAGGTTGTTGTTTTTGGTAGTGGTGGTGTTGTTTGGGTATCTTCATCACCTCCACCTCTGTCTTCTCTACGTTCACTTGAAGTCCTGTCTTCACTTTAAAAGTATCACTGAGCTTCCCATTGTGAACTACTTGGCTGGTATGTGGCGTCTTCATATAGTTGTTGAATGAGGCGGATAAAGGTTTGTGGTATTCCGTAGTGTTGAAGCAGCTGCCAAATTACTTCTCGGTTAACGCTGTGAAAGGCCTTTTCAAAGTCGAGGAAGTTGAGGTAGAGTTGTGTTGATTGCCATTCTACACTCTGTTCTATGATGATGCGAAGCGTAGCAATTTGGTCGGCACATGATTTGTACTTCCTCAATCCAGCCTGCCTGTTTCGGTCGTAGTTTTGAATCCAGTGCATCCTATAGTCTCTCCAAGTTGATACGGCTTAATATTTTGCTTGTTCTGAGTGGACAGGAGCATGATTCCTCTCCACTTCTTGCAAAGACTTATGTCTCTCTTCTTTGGGATTTTGACAAGGTAGCCCTTCTTCCAATCAATCTTCAAGTACCTTTCCTTCCTCGCGAATCTTCTGCAGTAGTAATGTGAGCATGTCCGCTGTTGTCTCTGAGTCTGTTCTCAGTGCTTCTGGCGGGATTCCATCTGGTCCTGCTGCTTTCCCACATTTCAGTAGCTTTATGGCGTTCAGAACTTTCATTTTCGTTGGAGGATTTATGTTCACTTGTAGTTCCGTGGCCAGGCTGCTGCTAGTATTTCTGGACGAAGTGCAGGTGGTGGTGGTCGATTCAAGAGCTTCTTGAAGTGGTCGGCACATCGTTTCCTTTGTTTCTCTTCTTGATAATTAAATTTTCTCTATTTTAAACATCTAATTGTATGCTATCACAATTAAAATCATATTTTATTGAAAATCTTTTAAACTCAGTCCAATGCAAAAATGAACACCGATTAGCAGTTAAAACTGCTGAAAATCTATTGCATGAAGTTAAAACATTCGATGCATCACAGATTCCAAATTATCATGAAATTCTGGCCAATATCAATTCTATGCTTGGCTTATCTCAATTAGAATTAGGCAATTATGAAGAAGCATTGAAAGCTCATCAAACAGCCTATGACCTTGGACAGAAAAGTAATTTACCAGAAATTATAGCACATACAATGGATAATATGGGACGCATTTACGCTAAAAAAGGAGATTATGATTCAGCTATAAAGATGTAAGTGGGAGAAAGGAAGCCATACATTACTATTTGTTTATGATTATTTAGATTATTTATTTATGACAAGACTAATTTTAGTATTAGTTCCCGACTGAAATTTTAAAGTTGGGGAAGTTTATCTGATAATAGTATACTTCATGAATTTTTTCACAGGTTGTAGGAAACTTTAAGATGAGTTTAGACTTTAAGTGGAGTCAGTACTTTGCAGTATTAATCAACTCTGTAATTCTGTAGTTAAAAATGTGCAAGAATGTATTGGTAATGATACACTTAAACTGCAGAGAATAGTGTTCCCTTTCATCTACTGTATTTATTTCAAAATAAGTAGTTAGTTGATTCCAGTTACAGCATTGGAGGAGGACTGATGTACAGTAGGGTACCGTGAGAGTTTCCCTTTCCTTGTTACCTAAGAATGAGAGAGGTTGACATTGACAATAAAATCATCAATTATTTGACATTCGGGATGAAAACCTGAGTATCTTAAACTTTTTATTAGGTGATATTTATGCGTTTATTATATATTCTGCACCAATAACTGGAATTTACCTTTGAAGGATCACGGAAACATCATTTTCACAATCACTTCAAAGAATCCACCCATTATTTTTAAAGCCAAAGGTTCAAAGAACGCTTCAGACGCCTAAATTGCGTGTAAAATCTTGGAGTGAAAATGCGGTACTATTATTTAGAAAAGACAGAAATGAATAAAAAGATTACATATTTCAGATCTTCAGATGTTTAGATATTCATCACACCTTCAAAAATACTTTGTAACCACATCAATGAGAAAAGTGAACCGCTGAAGGCTATAGCAAACTTAAACAACGTATGAAAAAAATGTTGTGCAATAGCCTCCAATAACTAGAAGGGATAAAGACAAACAAAAACTCAAGGTGCATTGTGGCACTAAGAAGTAAGCTGCAGGGGGAAAATTAAGTCATGGAATGGCTGGAAATTCTGATAATCTGAAATGTCAACCTTCTAAACGAAATTTACTTTGACTCTATTCATAATGTGCGCTAGAAACGACAAAATAAAGTGCATAATATTACTACTGATTTTCGACAAGTAGTATTCCTTTGAAAGCAAGAAACACATGGGTCTCCACGAAACTGTTGAATGTAAGTAGAAGTGATAACAGATTAGATGCACTTATTACACGTATCAGTTATTTACGTCATTCTGACAAATGTGTTCCTGCTTTAAAATATGAGATCTTGATCTTATCACTGTTTGACGTTTACCAGGCAAGAAATTCTGAGATTTCAAGACAGCGTTCGAAACCAAAAATCTTGCTTAAACCTATGGTTGTCTATGGTGTTAATAGACATTTCTTTTTCTGAGTTTCTTGTCTACTTTGCGCTGATTTATTCAACTATCAAAATTGTAGCTGTCATGTATGCTTTCTAAGTATTCCTCTAGGTATGTTATCTTAAATCATTTTTATTAGTTCACTTGATCTTTTAGCCTTTCCTGTGTTCTGAATGTTAACCATCCCTGATGAGACATCAAACCAAGTTTTAGGCGGAGAAAGTTATTACTCTCACAACTGTTCAATTGTGTTTATATTTATGTTAAGGTAAAAAACGCACTCCTTTGGAATCTCTAAAAACATTACCGTAATTTCATGTTGAATTGTCAACATTTATCAGACGTTGGTCAAACTAAAACCAGGTCACCTGATAAAAGTGAATGAAAATCAAAAAAAGGATAAGAAAAACTTTTGTCCCCATGTCTAGAATCCTAACAGTTTAATGCACTTAAAAGATTGCAAATGATCTGAAAATGTGGCCAGTAGTGAACATTGTGCTTTGGTTTATTGAGGAACCTACTCCTCCCCTATTTTATCTGTTTTCTCATTCTTATTCAGTGTAAAATACAGATTACATTAGTGGACGCGCCACTTTATTTCAAATGACACTACCCACTAAGTCAAGATCATATTTCGAAATGGCTAAATAACAACAACTTCTTTCATATGAACTAAATTTTAGATTCAATATTTGTGTTAATCAGTAAGGATTCTAAGCATATTTTGGAGGGGAACTTTATAAATCATATAGGCGAATTAACATGGATGGCTCAAAAATTAGAGTGGGATTGTGGCTCAGTGGTTTAGCGGGATGAATATCAACTACTGGGTCACCGGTTCCAGCCCCATTCACCTTACTGAGGTTTGGTCAGCCAGGTAGTATTACTAGCTCTCACGCCATAGGTGTGGCACATTGCCTACTGCATAGATGTGGACAAGAGGACTGTGTGTTTCGTTTCTTTCACTTCGCTTGACGGATAATTATTTTGGAGTACACATTTATTTAACAAACATTTTACCTTCGAAAATCTCTGCTATCATTTTATTTGTTTCTTTAGTCTTATTTTATTCTCAAAGTGTTAATCACAAAATTGTAGTGACGTACTACTCATCAGTAGGAAAATTACTAAAAAATTTGGCATTTCATACAAACTACGCATAACTAGTGATTAGATATAACCAAACTTGATCCATTTAGTTAAATGTAGAAGTTTAAGGTATGAAATTATTTTCAATCATTGAGTCAAATTACAGAATTTCTTTTAACTATTTTCAGTTGGGAAGAAAAACTTGAAAAATGTACAGATGAATTAGACAGAGTATGGCTTTGCTATGAATTAGGTCGATGTTATTTGGAACTACAAAATCCACAGAAATCCTCTGAATATGGTATGAAGGCAATGGGTATAGCAAGTGCAATGAATGATAAACCTTGGCAATTAAATATCAATGTTTTAATTGGACAATCAAATTTACAGTTGAAGAAACGTTCTGAAGCTCAGAATGCTTTTACTAAAGCATATGAATTAGCTAAAGTAAGTGCTCATGAGTATTAGGTTTATTCAGATAACAAATTAACTGACACAATTGCATATCAATTCAGGATGCCATATCCGATACATGACTGGTTGAGTATATTTACAATTTATTTTATCAGTTAAACAAACCCCTCAAAAATAGAGCGTTATTTACCCATAAATAGTGTATTGTTTAACTTTTTGATTGACATATCGAACATACTAATATATATTTCCTATATTTAACATTAGTTTATGGAGTAGAAAATCAGTATACAAAATGGGAGTTGCAAAATAAATCTTCAGTGTAAGAGAAGGATATAAAGACGACAGACTCTAGTCAACATTAGTTGTACTGATTACCATCAACTTTGCATAGTTTAACAATACCAAGTGTCACTGATGTTATAAATAACTTGATGACAGTTTGGGTGCGTAGTTTCTGCTCCTTATATCCCTGCCAGGGAGCTAAAAGTCACCGAAATACTCAAAATAAATCATATTTTCTTCAAACTTTTTTTCAGAAAATCAAACGACTGTTTAATTGCCTGACTGAATTTCTCAGCAGATATTAGTGATGACAAAAATAAACTCAGAAACTATATGCTAAATTACACCTGTTGTGTGAAGATAGATGATACCACTTGGTTACTTGTGCTCAAGTAGATGAGGTTGGGTTATAAAAGCTAATCAGATATTTGGAATTGAGTTGAATGAATCAATGGATCACAGATCCACAGACTTATACTAATAGTAATTTTTTACATACTCTGGAAATACCTAGCGTACCATTAACTATATAACTGGACCGGTATTTCGTACAAAATTAGTCTAAAAGTATACCTTTTGCTGTCTTATTTCTTCCTCCCTGTCTGAAGACTTGAGATTTCAAACGTATTTTGAATTGTTCTAGTATTCAAAATATATATGTAAGACACACATTAGACCAGTGACTTTGAAACTGTGAGATACCTTTTCAAGTCTCGGAAGGAGCTTGGATATTTTTACTTAAGTCCAGTGAAGCTTCTTTCTAATTTACCCTCAAAGATTGAATTCATTTTTACGATTTCCAAGATTTAAATGATGATCATGATTCATGGAAACACACCTGCAACACTACGCCTAAATCACACAAAGTCTGATTTCCGCTGTCGCACGGAATCCTGGTACAAAACCTACGCAATAACTTCATGGATCAATACTGTCAATATATCTAACAATTCCTATTTCTTTTTCTAACCAAATTATACTGCAGCTGACATAGCGTATTCTTATAGATGGTTGTTAAGTGTGCATATCACATACTCAAAGTACAACAATGTGCACATTCAACTTCGACAGTGCTCAGGAAGCATAGATTAATGGATACAAGTAATGAGAATAAGATTTATTCATATAAGTTGACTTGGTTTGAAGTTCCGACCAAAGTCCAGAGCGGAGAGATTGTGGTAGTTACTTAGTATAGTGATGCAGCTATAGGGGGGACTTTATTGGGTGAAAAGTGTTTACACTTATTCAGAGGAAAGATCTATACTTAGTATTCACCCATGCTGACAAACACCGACAGATTACTTCAAAATTACCGTCGTATAAGTTACGCAAAAGCTACTTATATGACATCAAGTAATTTGGAAATATGACACTGGGTACCAATCAAATAAACATACATTATACTCAGTGATGATAGAAAGTGAAATTAAGATTTGGACCGCGGCCGGACTCGAACCAACGACCATCGGGTCTCCTGTCCTATGCTGTACCAACTGAGCTACGAAGTCCGAATGCTGACCAGATTTTTTACTTCACTTTAATCGCCATGCGTTTTGATGGTAGTAGCGCATCAGGAATTCACATGATAGTTGGGCAAAACTCATGGTGATTGAAGTGAAATAAAAATGTGATCAGCAGTCAGATCTCGTAGCTCGGTTTGTAGGGCATCGGACTGGAACCTCGGTTGTCGCTGGTTCGAACCCGCTAGTGGCCCAAACTCTCATTTCCCTTTCAATCACCACCCAGTAAAAGTACTAGTCTGCCGAACCACGGTTATCTCAAATAATCATAATGATAAACATACATTGGTCTTCTGTTGTTAAGTCATTTATGACGCATTATTTTGATAAAGCAGAAAATGATTTATTTTCAAAATAAGTGTACTACATCAAATGTCTATTCAAATGAGGCTATAGTCAGCGTAAGATGACAGGATATTTACCGACTAATCTTTAATGAACTCACGAGATGAGATACGAACTTATCGTCACATACAAGACTACACTTCAAAAGGTCATTAATGTTGTTCAGTAGATCACTAAGAATTAATCGCATCCTTGTTCTTAGTAGCAAAGATATCCTAATAGTTTCACATGGTTGGAAGTTGGCAAGCTGATTGTCATTTTTTTCGTGGATAATAAGACAACAGTTCTCGCCACTGAATAAAATCAGAGTAACAAAATAGACATCATTAGGTATCCTTCATACGTCTTAAATTGACCTGCATAAATAAATGTCATCGGTCTTGTTGATCTTTTCGCTCACTGGCTTGTACAGTTGTTAGGACAGGAAATAACCAGAATCATACAGTTTACTCTTACAACATACATGAAGTATCAGAAACTAAAATTCGAAATTAAACGTTTCTAACAGTGATGGATTAAATAATAATTTCATTTGAAGGTGCTTCCCTTTCAGAATTTTCCTCTTGATACTCAAAATGGCTTAACTACTCATGTGTAAATGTATCCTGCCGGTGAATGACAGATACGCAGTTGTTCCACTAAATAGGCTCTTATTGTTGAGATGATTTTTTAACAGTCTTTCCACAGCATATGATATTTTGAGAGCTGCAAGTGATTAGGTGGTTGGTAAATATAACATGGACAATTTTTCGCATGTTTGATTATCGACCACACTGTTCCCTTTCTCTTGCTGCTAACAAACGTTACTATGGTAAAATAACAATCAAGAAGCATCATAAATGTACTAAATACACATAACAACAAGTGAAAACAATTTGATAGTTAGAGAATGATACCTAACAGGTGATTCATACGGACCGTATTCAGTGTATTTCAATAAAATTTGAGTAATAACAGTTTGGAATTCTGAACGAAAATACTTCGATTACAGGTGCAGACACTACTGAATGGTATTAACGTATCCTTTAGTAACTAGAACTTATCATAAGAAGACATCATTCTGAACAACCGGTGGTTGAAGTCGGACATGAAGTCTACTAACGCTATCAATTTCAAGTAATAATACCATTATTTTGTCACTTATATAGAATATCTAGAGTGGATTGGTCATTCAGTTTTCAAGTGTTTGTTGCTTTTTCATCCGGTATGTAACAGGAACTTAAAGCTGATGATGCGGAAAAAGCTATTCTGGAAGTCATAGATGAGCTACAAAGTACTGAGCGTGAAATGGACACAGATGCATTCAGTGATACAGAAGAGAACATACGATCAGAAGGTGAGGCTGTTTTATGTTGCTTTGTATTAATGAAGATAAAAGTTCGCTTATGATTACTTTTTGCCCCAGAAGATCTAAGTTCAAGCATTCGGCAACCCATAGCATCAACTAAAATCCGCTTTCAACCAATGATAACAGAAACACTGAAAAAACTACCTCAGTCCTAGGTAATCAGAACGAGTTATTCAGATACCAACGAAGAAGTTCTTGGCTCACATTTCATTTTGAAGTTTTTACTGATGGCAATGAAGCTGACGATCAAAAAGATCTTGATATGTATGTGGAGAGCTTGACTGGAATTCATCAAACCTGTATCATTTTGAACACCCTTGGGATCTTTACTTACCTATCCAGTAATATGAATATGGAATAACAAGCCATCCTGTCAGTGAAATCAGAGTGGATCTGATAAAATTCCCCATATGCCTTCCTTTTACGGCAACAACAGAGGATATGAATTCCCTTTTGGGGATGCTGTAATCACCACTAACATTACCACTGACAAGAAAAGGAGTGGCAATGTTATTGTGGTGTCGCCGTATATGGAAGGCACATAGAAAATTTCACGGAGACTTCTTAACAGTGTTGGAATTTTGGTGGTATTTAAACCCGCAGACTCGCTCAGAATGAAACGTTGTAGGCTAAAATATTCAAGAGAGTATATTAGGAAAGGTAACATAACTTATCAAAGCCATCCAATGATTATGAGGTCAAATACATTGGTCATAGTAGACTGTCTAGGTCAGTCATAAAATCAGAGCGCAAAAGTTTGGTGAACCTAAAATGAAAAACCTTACAAGGATAAGTAGTTTAGTGAAAAACTCGGCTATCGTTCTGCACGTAGTGACCCATAATGACGCTATATAGTTGGAGAAAGTGATAGTTCTTAAATCCAATATAGCCAGGTGAATCAAGTTATTGATCACAGAATCTTTGTTCATTGAATCCACACCCAACGCTTGTAACAGGAATGACCCACTACATATTGTAGATATATGGAAGATCTTACTTCTATTAAAATGAATAAATGAACTGTTGGACTACATAAACGAAGTTTTAGAGTCGTATGATTACTTTAATGTGAATATGAGCAATAAATCCTGCTCGAAACGTCATCCAGTAACTTATACTGTGTCACTGTACACAATATCAATCAAATAAACAATCTAATATGGAACGCATACACGTGCTTGCTATCCGACGTTTTGAAATATGAATCATATGTTGAAGTTCCCGTAAGCAATAACTTTGAAGTTAGGTGTAAACTATTCAGAAAAATTAATGTTAATTCTGACCACTAACTAAAGTTGCTTGATCAAGCATTGCTTATGATTAGCCATCGCACATCTCAGTTTCCTATCAAGGTAGAAGTATGAATGGCATTTAGGATCGGTAACAAATACTATACTGTCATTCTATAAGAATTTTGGATTTTTGGGATTTCTTGAGCAAGGTTATTGTTGCAGAGGTTGGTTGTTGTGGCCTTTTAGATGAATTAGCTTAAATCTGATCAGAAATGTGCGGATGCATTCACGCTATCATCAATCTGTAATATATTAATTTGTAAAGTTTACAGCCCGTCAACATAATGTTAGAAAATTTTATTATCCACACCAAAGTATCACGTCTATTGGGTTTTCTAGTATAAATTGCCTTGATTTTTAAATAACACGCTCAATTTTTCTAAAGCTGTCTCTGGTGTATATAAATACTGATTACCCTCATCACTTTCTGAGAAGGAATTTCTTCATATATGGTCTTTGAAATGACTGTTTATGACATCAGCTGATATTAAATGTGGCAGTAATGATCGATGGTGGTTCTCAGTGAAACCTAGGATGCGCTTTCGTCTTATGTAGGACTCGCCAGTTAAGTGTACCTCTTCCTCAGTGAGTGATATTGATCCTCGAACTCAGGAGCGGTTACTTCAGACACCAGAGCATTAACCACTAGACTGCTGAGTCACGATAGCCACTTCTTGTGTGACAGGTATAGTTTTGATGCTATTTCTTTGTAATTTACCATCGTTGACCAAACCGAATTGATCGATCTCTATCGTTATATGGGCTCTTGCTCGAATGCTGTGATATTGGCTGCACTTCCAGTTTGTTAGTAATGATGGATAGTGACCAGCAGTGGAAATTACAAACAATAAAATCAAAACTATGCCCATTCCCACAAGTGGTGGCTATTATGACTCAGTTATCTAGAAGATAACGCTCTGGGTTTGAAGTGATCGCTTGTGGGTTCAAGTGTTAGTGGGAAAACATCACTCACTGGAAGTTAGGTACATTCAGCTGATAAGTCTTCACGAGGGCCAAATGTACGTCTTAGATTCATCCAAACTTCGAAAAGGAGTTTGAGCTGGTGATTTTGTCTATAGTGATAGCGAAAACTTCACGATTAAGCTATCTAGCTCAGAGAACACATCATTAAAGCTATCCTCCTCAGCAGTAACATCAATTTCCACGAACTAAGCCCTCTTAAAGATGCTCATCAGTAATAGGTGATGTAAAATGTTTTTGAATCAGTTAAAAGTTACCTACCTATTCTTTTGAGAATTTAATCTGTGTTCAGAATTGATTCGTGAACTAAGAAGACAATGTGTACTAGCATGCTTCGTGGAGACGGAGACATATTCCACTTAATATAAAGTGATACTATAAATAAGTCTGGCTTTTCACTAGATGAAATACAACATGGAGTACCACTATTTCTTTGCTGTTTAAGTGTTGCTATTCCCTGTTGGTTAAACCCACGTGAAACTTAACTTCGTTTGACGCAACCATTAAATGTTGTGTAGATTTATTCGAAAAGTCACCATAAATGAGCCAAAATGCTTAGGAGTGCATTATGCGTATACTTTTTAGTGCATAGTCTGAATAGTATGAACTGTTAGACGTTGAGAGAATAAGCAGATCGGATTCTAACTATTAGGATTTTTGCTATATATTTGTTACTGGCATCACCATTATATGCAGGAAATATGGCTTGAATAATCGAATGAACTATTTTAGAATCTTATTAACTTGCGGTCATAACTGAAAAAATTCAAAATAAACATTCTACTACATTTAACTGGACGTTTTTTAAGCTGTCTGGATTCTTATGCGATAATGATGTCAAAATAATCTTTCTACACTTGTACAAGTGCACCTCACTGTATTGATACATCGGACTGGTTAGTTCTGTTAGACGGGTTCATTGTGTCTAAAATATTTGGTACGTATTTCACGAGATTATATGTTGAAGATATTTATTTGTACCACACAAATATGTTCAACAAGTTTTTCAATAGATTGAACCAAACTTCTGGCACACCAGAGTATTTCCAAGCTCTCAATCAATATGAAAACCTACATTGTATTTTGATCAGTGATTTGTATACTGTTCAATAAATCCATATTGTGAACATTGCTCATCGGTTTGTGTTAATGATGGATCGTGGCTAGCAGTGGAATCCATGATGCGTATTTTGTCCTATTTGGGACTCGTCAGCTGGATGTACGTGCTTCCCAGCGAATGATACTGTTCCCACCTAGAATAGACTTTGGAGGTCATTATTCATCTAATAATAGATACAATATAGACAAGAATAAAAGGATTTTCACAATTTATTTATTCCTTACTACTTACGAGTAGTTGTACTAGCATCACATATAAACTGAACCATAACAGGATATGCTGGCGACATGTCACTCGTAAACAACAATGAGGTGATAATAAACGGTGTGAATAATCTAAATGCTGTTATGATCATGGGATAGGCAATTGAAACTCTTATGCTTTTGAGCAGCTGGTGGAGTAAGGAAATAAAATGCAAAATTAACTTAGAATAAAATGGCTTCATGTGTAATCAGGTGGTGACCATAGCCATTGTCATCATAATTTTATAATGTGACTATTAAACTTGTTTATCAACAGTGATGGTTAATCCATTCATAAAAGTGGTTTAGCTAAGATTTTTCAAACTTCTCTTCGAATAGTTTCTTTCTTAGTGTGAATCATTTGCGGATTTTAGAGTTCCGAACTATGGTCTGTAGGGTATTAGAAAGTGGTGATTGGAGGACTTGACTGATGGAGATAAAACCACTACCTATCTATCTGTAATTTTTGAACATCTCTTGTTTTTATGCAAACTTACCAACCACTTCTTTCTCGATGTACTAGCAGCTTCGATTCCTTGTTTATCTTTCCCTCGCTGCACTAACGTAAAGCATCGTACGTTATATGGAAAGTACAACTAGGAAACTTAATGAACATATCATCAAACATCTACCTTCATGGCCAGAAAAATGAAAACTTGAGCCTATGAGGAGTTCTGTTTTATCGTACCTGGTTGACAGTGGTCACAAATTGGAGAAAACGAGGGAGTTCATTGTAGTTTACTGCATTGCACCCAATCTTCCCTATGAAGTTCAAGCACTTCAGTGAATACAAAAAACATTTAATTAGCATTATGTTAAATTAATAGGCATATCGAAATTCACATAAGTGAAGCTCACCGTGATAGCTGTGGTTTCGTCGATTGACATTTTGTCAGCGGTGGGTGATTGAAGATGAAACATACCCTGTTTGAATTCTGCATGTACCCAAATTTTAATATCAGCTATTAGCATATTGGATACCAATTCCTCATAAGTTCAACTGCTTTGTTCGTGATATCACAGTCAGACTGTCAGATATTTATAATCTTTTTAGGTTAGATTTTTAAATAATGGAGAATATTTGTAGCTCAGGTGGATGGTCTTCGTTGTATTGTGTTCTCTGAGCAGGGTTGTTCAATCATGAAGCTTTCATCGTCTTTCTAAACGACATCAGCACTAACTTCAGTATGAAGTGAGCTGTCAATATCTCTCCGTCAGTGATTTAATGGCTTGTCTTGACTATGTGGTCTGTGATTGGTTGTTTCCTTCGATTGTTGTGTCATTGACTGTATAGATTTTCTTGTCGACTGTTCCTCTGCTTGACCTCTGACCTTTCTGATGTTTATCATTTTTCTTATTGGTTGATAGATTGGGTCTATGTCTATACATCTGTTGATTGCTGACTGACTGATCTGAATGCCAAGCTTTTAGGAATTTTCTGATATTCTTTGTGTTTCCTCTGTCCAAAATTTCTACATTGTCGAAATTAAATTTATGTCAATAATTATCCAAATGCACTGAAATGAGTGATGAAATGTCGTGACCTTAAGTAGCCAACTGGTGTTTATTTGGACGAACGCGAAGAGGGGGACCACTTTGTCCAATGTAGTGTTGACTACAGTTACTGCAGTTGATTTTGTAAATGATATTTAGTTTGTCTTCTTTGGTCTGCACAATAGTGTTTGGAGGGAATTTGTTGGTTTGTGAGCCACACCAATTCCAAGTGGTCTCAGCGATCTTGTCGTGATTTCTGATATATTCTTGATGTATGGTAGGTTAGATTGTTGAATGAAGACATTAGAACTCCCTCAATAAAAAGGTATTTCATATAGAAGACCATAATAGAATGTTGAAATTCATTTCACAAAATAAAATGGACATGTATCTGGTCTAAGAAAATGTGTTTCCGACAACTTTACCTCTTGGAAAGAATTGATATAATTTATATTTTGGCAGGAAAGTGAATAAAAATAAATTTTCAGATACAAGATTTTGTGGAGCAACTCAGTTGTTGATTACTAGTAAACACTGTTACGTTAATATTTCAAATCGACTAATAGAACTGGGAAAGGCTAAGTATCAATTACATCCTAATTTGTACTTCGGTATCAGCAGCAAGCCAACGGCTTCTCATCCCACAAACTGAAAGTTATATATATATATATATATATATATATATATATATATATATATATATATATATATATTATTAGTCCCTTGGGTTCCTAGTGGAACATAGGGCTTCAGTAGCACGCCTCCAGTGACCTCTGTTCTCTGAGATCTTTTGAACCTGGTTCCACGACAGCCCACAACCTCTCATTTCCTCCTCGCATGACCTCCTCCATGTCACCCTCGGACGTCCAACTCGTCGCTTCCCATGGGGATTCCACTCGAGGGCCTGACGCGTGATGTCCTCAGTCGGCCTTCTCAGTGCATGGCCAATCCATCTCCACTTCTTCCTGCATATTTGTTGCGTGATAGGTTCTTGGTTGGTTCGTTCCCAGAGTTCCTTGTTGCTTATTTTTTCTGGCCATCTGATCTTCAGCAGCGAGCGTAAGCAGTTGTTGATGAATGTCTGTAGTTTATTGGAAATCCCTTTCGTGACGCGCCAAGTCTCTGAGCCATACAAGAGCACTGACTTGACGTTGGTGTTGAAAATCCGTATCTTGTTCCACATGCTGAGTGCAGAAGATCTCCACACTGGTTTCAGGCTAATGAACGCCTGTCTTGCTTTTCCGATTCTGACTTTGACGTCCTCGTCCGTCCCGCCTGTAGTTGAAACAGTGCTTCCTAGATAAGTGAAGGAGGTTACTTCCTTCAAGTTTCTCCCGTTGACGGTGATTGGAGTTTGTTGTTGTTGTTGATGGTGGTGGTGCGGTATCTTCATCACTTCTGTCTTCTCTATATTCACCTGAAGTCCCGTCTTAGCTGCCTCTTCTGTCAACTTGTTAGTTTTTGCCTGCAGATCTTCAAGTTTATGTGACATTAGGCATAAGTCATCGGCGAAATCCAAGTCTTCTAGGTTCTTTTCCGTCGTCCAGTGTATCCCCCTCTTCTCGCTGCCTACTGTTTGCTGCATGATCCAGTCCACCACAATAAGGAATATCATGGGGGATAGTAGGCAACCTTGTTTCACTCCTGTCTTCACTTCAAAGGCATCACTGAGCTTCCCATTGTGGATTACTTGGCATGTGGCATCTTCATATAGTTGTTGAATGAGGCGGATAAAGGTTTGCGGTACTCCGTAGTATTGAAGCAGTTTCCAAATTACTTCTCGGTCGACGCTGTCAAAGGCCTTCTCAAAGTCGATGAAGTTGAGGTATAGAGCTGATTGCCATTCTACGCTCTGTTCTATGATGATACGAAGCGTTGCAATTTGGTCAGCACATGATTTGTACTTCCTGAAGCCTGCCTGTTCCGGTCGCAGTTTTGAATCCAGTGCGTCTTTAAGCCTCTCCAGGATGATGCGGCTTAATATTTTACTTGGGGTGGATAGGAGAGTGATTCCTCGCCAGTTCTTGCAAGCACTGAGGTCTCCCTTCTTCGGCAGTTTGACAAGGTAACCCTTCTTCCAATCGTCAGGTACCTTCTCTTCCCTCCACACCTTCTGCAATAGTGGTGTGAGCATGTCCGCTGTTGTCTCTGCATCTGTTCTCAGTGCTTCTGGCGGTATTCCATCTGGTCCTGCTGCTTTCCCGCATTTCAGTAGCTTTATGGCGTTCAGGACTTCCATTTTCGTTGGGGGATTTATGTTCACTTGTAATTCAGCGGCTGCAGGTGGTATTTCTGGACGAAGTGCAGGTGGTGGTCGATTCAAGAGCTTCTTGAAGTGGTCGGCCCATCGTTTCCTCTGTTTCTCTTCTTTTGTAATTAAATTTCCTTCTTCATCTTTTATTGGTTTCATCTGTGTTGGTCTCTTCCCTGATAGCAACCTGGTTATTTGATACAATGTCGTCAGGTCTCTCTTACCTGCAGCCTGTTCTGCTTCACTTGCCAGTGTGTCGTAGAAGTGTCTTTTGTCTTTGCGTGCACTCTTCTTCACTTCTTTATCCAGTGTTTTATACATTGTGCTCAGTTCCTCTTGTCGTTGAGCATCCTTGCACTGGTTTATCTTCTGCTTCACCATCCTCCTCTCCTCTATCAGCTTCCAGGTATCCGTCGAGATCCATTCCTTGTCTTCCTTCTTCCTTCCTAATACTGTTGTGCAGGTTTCTTTCCACATAGCTTTCAAAGACTTCCAGTGTTCTTCTACACAGGTTTCTTCAGGGATGTCCCTCGACGTCTCCCATTTTGTCTTGATGGCTGCTTTGAAGATCTCCTTTGTAGTTTCATCCTTCAGTTTCCGAGTGTTGTACTTGAATTGAGGTCTATCACCAGCTTCCTTGAAGGCTTTTAACTTGATTTGGAAGGTTCCTTGCACTAGATAGTGGTCTGAACCTACATCTGCTCCTCTTCTTGACCTTGTGTTAAGTAGACTGCGTCTCCATTTTCTTGAGATTGAGATAAAGTCGATTTGATTTTTAGTGTGTCCATCTGGTGAAGTCCATGTCGCTTTGTGGATATCCTTGTGCCTGAACACACTGCCTCCAATCACCAAATCGTTGAATGCGCAGAATTCTGCAAACAATTCTCCATTCTCATTCATTTCACCTAGCGCCTCTCGACCCATGGTTAGTTCTCTTCCCGTGTTGTCCCCTCCCAGTTTGGCATTCATGTCGCCCATTAGAATTTTGATATCGCCAACTGACGTCTTGTCCAGTGTTGACTGAAGTTGTCTGTAGAATTCCTCCTTTTTCTCTTGCTCTGCATTATTTGTAGGTGCATAACATTGTATGATTGTGACCTTTCTTCCTTTTGAGTTGAATCTTGCTGTCATGATCCTGGAGGAGATTGGTTCCCACTGCATGAGAGCCTTCGATGCTCTTGAGGACATCATGATAGCCACTCCCTCAGTGTGCTCGTGGTTGGCGTCTGGGTGACCGGAGTAGATTATTGATTCTCCAGTTGACAGTTTGGAGAGTCCACTCCCATTCCATCTGCTCTCGCAAATCCCAAGCACTTCGATGTTATACCTTCTCATCTCCTTTGCAATCTGGGCTGCCTTACTGGGTTCAAACATCGTGCGGACATTCCATGTCCCCACGTTTACTTTCGCTTTCATCGAGAGAAGACACATCGGCCAATTGGCTTCCCGAAGGCTTTCACCAACTGGCGTCATTTCGCCTCTCCGATTCCAGCGGGGAATAAGTTTGTTTTCATTTTTTATATTTTGTTTGTGCTTTGAAGTTTCTTTAGCGGTTAGATTTGTTTTACGGGGTAGGGTTGCTAGCCCTATGCCCAACCTTCCCTCTTTACCCGGGCTTAGGACCGGCTAGTAACTAGTAAACTAGTTAACCAGGCGAGGTTTATATATATATATATATATATATATATATATATATATATATATATATATATATGATCATTTTGGGTGGTGAAAACCTTAGAAGACATCGATGAACAAGGGAAATAACTTCAGTTTGTTTCGATATTCCACTTAAAAAGGAAAAGAGGACTGTAACAGTGGTGACTAAAAAGTATAATCACTTAGTACTCAGTACTAGTGACGGATGTTTTTCTTAGATATCTACTTATGTGTATCAGTGGCAAAACCTGAATTAAAAGCTACCTTCCAACAGATTTCTAGACAATTAATAATCACAGCTCAACAACAATCTCATCCTTGTATGGAACCAGACTTCAATGCATTAACGAAAAGCCCAAGACTTTACATTACATTTCAGCAGTTATGAGAGTGAAATCAGTGAACCTGCTACAAAATTGCATTTTAAGTTTATATTACCGTGATCCATAATGGTGCACTGTTTAAGTTTCTTTCCGTTTTTTCAGCAGATTCACCAGTTTCAAGAAGTAAGCAACACTCACCAGACCATCAAAACGTTCAATCTGATGAAGCATAGAAGAAAACTAATGAAAAGAAGACGTTTATAACGTTGACAGAATTCTTATAAAGTTGTTTTACAAGTTTTTCTTCTTCCATGCGCAAATAGGCTGCATTTTACTCTCATTAAATTTACCTCAAATCTTGATTGTAAGCTGAGCTCAAAATTCTATTTAAATACAACTTGTAGTTTATAAACAATTCCTACTTTCTTTATTTACAACTTTTCCAGCTAATAGATTACTTTCGACTTCACTGACAGTCATAAGTAGTTACTTCACTACACGCTCTTCAATGAAACGGTATTTATAAAAATATTAAAAACCAATTTGGATTTGATAAACGGCACGTTTTGAAGCCCGAGTGTAGTAGGCTAAATGCTACAAAAGATAGAGAAGCTTTACATTTTAAAATAAAGTTTATTATAAATGACCTAAGGTAATCACTATCGAAGATCTTCACACAGGGTTGCCTCTCACTGACACAGTCGTTTTAATTAGAGTATATGAAATAACTATTTGATAAATAATATGTGACCACCTTTATTCAAATAGAATTATTAAGCAATATTCTGACGGTGTTACACTTTGAGGCGAAATAGCCTGGCTTTTTATGACAATATCATCAGTCACTTCCTGATATCTTCTTGTATGGACATTATTTCATACTTCCAATCTAAGGTTGAAAGTTATCTTCATATGTTTCTGAGTTTTTTAAAGAGTTCAAGATACCTTGTGGAGACGGAAGTGGTTGAAAACCCAAGATTCCTGGCTACCTTCAGACTTCAGTAGCCTGGTGTAACGAATGTAGACCAAACCCATCAACACCAACTTAACTTTTCTTAAGAACAAAAAGTGGTCTGGTTGGTGAATGTCATTCAGGCCTTCGTAAAATTGTTAAAAATCTAACGTATCATGCCTTTCCTAGCATTCACGCGACCACCCACACACTCCTGCTTCATGACTAATTCTAATGGTTCGTAGTTGATAATGAGTGTAGGCTGACTGACAAAATCAATATAAAATCTCACACGCAGGTGGATTAGCTCAAGTTGCTAAGAGATTTCGCTGTTTATTGAAGCAAGGAATATACAATACTTACGTACGTCGAGCATCACTGATCAAGTGTCATTTTTGCAACTTGTACATAATTGCACAATGGGATGATATCTTTCTGATACTCAAGGCTTTCTGAGCTAGGTTTTTCTTATTTCTTTATTACTTGAATTTTGTTCTAAAACTTCGCTATGTTAAGTGTAATGGTAACAAGTAAAGTGGTTTTTCTTCTTAGTTAATTCAGAATGTATTTGAAACTTTGTCAGTTTGCATCTAGTCGAGTATTCTAGCACTTAGTGGTGTGACCGAACAGGCAAGACCAAACTCCAGTATTACAATAACAATAGTAATCACTTTATTTAAAACAATATTTGGTACTATTAGGAATTTTCAACGTGTAATATAGCGATAAAAATGCACTCCTTAACAACATATCGAATAGTGCTAATTATAGCGCTTTAGGTAAACGAATGATATCAGTAACGAGTATAGTTAAACATGAAGGGTTTGAACATTGTAAAAATGCATTATTTACCATTACAAACTTGATAAATCAGTTCTAACTTAACACATTTTCCTTCACACGTTACGTCATGGATGATGCACAGTAAACGTCTTGTATAACTCCTTCTTGTCCTTCCTAAGTAAATATAACGAGAGAGCTGTGAATAAAGTGGATGTTGACTATCAAATAAAATGACCATATCTGGTTGCCTGCTTGAATTCAAATTTTTGTCGACTATAGTGTTAATCACTTGAGCAGTCTTACTCAAAGACGAATGGCTCACAAACTATCAGATCATCAGCATACTTAATAAAATTAGTTTCAGCAGAATAATGTTAGTCATACAAATTGAAAGAAAAAATGAACGGAAACTACACTGTACTTTGAAGTACACCCGCTTCTGACATCAATGGATCAGACGGCTTGCCCTTAAAGACAGTATACTATTTCCTTTTAGAAAAATAAGAATACAAATACTTTGTAATCTAGGGCTCAGGATGAGCAGTGGCAAGCTTATTTACCATGGCTGGTCTAGAAACGGAGTCAAAGGGAAGCGTATAATTTAGGAAGGCCTACTGAACATATCTACCACCTTTGTCTACACTAGAAACAAAATTATGATGCACAATACTGGCAGCATCTAATATGCTCCCCCTGTTTTTATAGTCACACTGTTATAGATCTCTTAAGTTTTCAATGAAGGTTCAAGCACAAGTAGAAGCAATTTTTCTATTGTGTTCAAGCTAAAAGAGTTTAGAGAGATTTCTATAAGCTTTACATCTGATCCAGATAATGACTTATGTACAGATACAACTTCAATCTTTTTCCAAGCGACAGGTGTAGTATTTTAGGAAAATGATACATCAAAGACATCTGAAAGGGGATGATATAAAATATTTACACGTTTTCTGAAAATATTGCTTGAAATATCAGGACTTAGGCTTTGGGATGGATTGAAGAACTTGAGATATTTCAAAACATTATTTGTATTAAAACCGAGAAGAAGGTATCAAATAAGAAGGACGAAACCAACCTGCCGACACATAAATCACTGGTTTAATGCACAGACATTAAAACTGGCATCTTGAGTTATGTTTCTACTAGTAAGTTCCTGAAGTAACGTCCGTGTATTGGAAGAGTTCCCACACGATAAAAACGTCTGGGTGTGTATAGTATTTAGGCATTGATTCGATAGTCAGGTCTTTTAGAGCCAGGATGATCTTTCATCTAATACAAACTTTCCTTTCCCGTTCTCAGCTGCTAGAGAAGAGAAGAAGAAGGTCTGTCAAACCTCATGAAGATTATTTTACCTCGACAACATATGTCAAAACAAAATGTGAGATGGCTCGCAATTTCAATGGTAGTGTTATCTAAGACTTCATCAACAAATATATCCCAGTCTGTTCCCATTAACATAAATCTCAAGTGCAGTATATTACCTGTATTAGTATCTAAGCTTGACTTCCTAAAAAAGCCATCCAAATACCTTCTTATGTGATTTGCCATACACTGAACAAAATATATTTAATACAGTGGTCAGAATATACCAACGGAAGTTGTGTACGAGTTTCATGTATGTCAGAATCATCTATGTAAACTAAATCTGGTGATTTTGTTGTCAAGACGAATGGAAAATTTAACCAATGAAGGAAACTGCAGTTTCATGAATTATAATCTCTACAAACCATGGAGAAAGAGTTACTCAGAATAGAATAGGCAAATTCAGTGAGTTCATCAGTGAAAGTGGATAAATCGGCGAAACTACAGTGAAATGTGATATAAATGGTTGCTATGTGAATATTTTTGTATTCTCTCAAATGTATGGGATGACACTTAACAGTAATTCAATCAGTTTTGTATCTGGAAAAACTAAAGCAGACATAGTTGAATGCTAATCAATTATCGTTAATAAATGTTGTTGTACCCCTAATACACATATTCGAAAAACATCGATCTTGTCGAAATAACTTGAAGTGACTAAGATAAGTTAAAAAATCCTCATACACATTATGAAATGATGTTTCTTGCAGTGTTATTACACCCATATTAAGATAAATACCTATGGATAAGAATGACTGAAAGTAATCAACTTCCCTCAATCTTGAGCTAAATATTTCCATAATAGTCATTTGATATTTAGTTGCATTCCTGAGAGTCGGAAGCCATCCAGAATGAAGCTTTTCTTGCTTTTTCTCCCAGCTTGTAAAGTAAGAGGTTAAAATTACTTCGAAAGTGCGCGAGAGTATATAGTACGATTATAGAATACACTTGAAGGAATTAAGTAAAGTAGAAAGAAGCCATCAAAAGCATTGAGCACGTGGCTGGCACTTTTGAACTGATTTTGTACTTCTCAACATTGCAAAAAGAACTCGCCTCGTTAAAAAGTTCACCAGTTACTAGTCGGTCCTAAGCCCAGGTAAAGAGGGAAGGGTGGACATAAGGCTAACAACCCTACCCAGAAAAACCAATCCCATCCCTAAACATACTTCAAAGCACAGACAAAATATGAAAATAAAAAACCTCTTCCCTGCTGGAATCTTAGAGATGAAATAACCCCGGTTGGTGAAAGCCTTCGCAAAGCCAATTCACCGATGTGTCTTTGCTTCTCTCCATCAAAGCAAAAGTAAACATGGGGACATGCAATGTCCACACAATGTTTCAAGCTGGCTGACAAGGCTACCCATATTGCAAAAGAGATGAGAAGGAATAGCATAAAAGTGAAAACTAGGAATCTGTGAAGAATCTGCAGATGGAATGGAAGTGGACTCTCCACACCGTCAACTGGAGAGGAGTCAATAATCAACTCCAATATCGTCACACGTATGACACGACAACCACGAACACACCCAGTTTTCGAGTGGCTATCATGGTCTCCCCAACAGCATTGAAGCCTCTCATGCAGTGGGAAGCAATCTCCTCAACGATCAGGATCATGGTTGCAAGATTCAACTCGAAAGGAGGGAAGGAAGGAAGGAAGGCAGGTCACAATCACCCAATACCAGTGCTACACTACGCACCTACAAATAATGCAGATGAGGAAGAGAAGAAGGAGGAATTCTACAGAAAACTGCAATCAGTAATGCACAAGACACCACCCTAGTTGCCGACATCAAAATTCTAATGTGTGTGGTGATATGAATGCCAAACTGGGAGTGGACAACACAGGAAGAAAGTTCATCATGGGTTGAGAGGCATTCGGTGAAATGATGAACGCGAATGGAGAACTGTTTGCAGACTTCTGCACATTCAACGATTTGGTGATTGGAGGCGATGCAGTGTGTGTGTACAGATACAAGCGTATTCACAAGGCAGCAACATGCATTTGATTTCAACAGACACCAGAACACACTACACTACACTACACTTCACTAAACGCCAAATCGACTTCATCTCCATGTGAAGAAAGTGGAGACGCAGCTCACTCACTATACACAAGATGAAGAAGGGGAGCAGATGTAG